CGATTTGAAACATAAACATGGAAAGATTATAGACTCCATCAGTAAAACATATCAATAAGAATCCAAAACTGAAGCGAGAACGTTTTCAACAACAACAAAAATGTCCTTTTTAAAAATGGTAAAGAAGCTGCAAACTTTCAGAATCATTTTATAATGGGAAGGGAAAAAATTAAAAAATATATATATATTTCAGTAAGGAAAAAAAGTAGCGCATATTTAAGATTTGTAGCGTTCGAAAAATAATAAGTAGCCCAAAAAGTAGCAAGTAGCGAAAATTCAATTTTCAGTAGCGGGAACTTTTAAAAGTAGCCCAATCCGCTACTTGTAGCCCAATCTGGCAACACTGTCTCGGTGGTGGGGACATAGGTGGCACCACAGGGTATTGGTTTGTTACATCATTAAAAAAAAATTTAGTTGCATTATTGAGAACAACACGTCAGTAATGTCAACATTTGTCATTATTAACAACACTTCAACTCACAAAAAAGTTGTTTGTATGCATAATGCTTAACTATTTCCATTATGGAATTTAATTAAAAAAACTATAAATGCAATAAAAATATCCTACAAGCTAAATTCATATTTAGTAATTAAGATGTTGCTAAATTTAAATAGAATAAGTAGGAAATTTATCATATTTATTCATTTCTTGCTAAAAAGTTGAAAAGGAAAAACAGTTCTGAGATAACACCAAAACATGTCAGGTCAATGCAAAAAAGTATTCATATTTCTGATTTATTTAAGACAATGCTCTTCACGGTAATATATCAAATTTAAATTTCAACTAACAGTTTCAAATTAAAATTAACTTAGAAAGCGCTTTGCTTAAAATTATTATGAAATTTTGCAGAGAGAATTTGTCTTAATATTTAATTTCTATGGTTCAGCAAATTTCTGAAAACTCCTAAATATATATCAATTTTAATATTTTAGCGAAATAAAAATATTATTCAACCACTGCAAATAAACAATTTAAATAGATAAATAAAAGGGCAGATCGACAAATTTCTATACTCTTATATTCTGATGAAAATCATGAAAAAATTCCATATGAATTAACTTCTGCTTTAGTTCATTAGAACAAAAAAAAAATATTTTTCAAAAACCTCAAATGTTGGAGGGTATGAAAATGCATTGAATCATTGATGAGGAATGACATTTCAGTACAGAACCCTATTTATGATGATCATTATTAGAAAAGTAATTAAATTCAAAACCAGAATGATATAAATAATTTATTAAAATGTAACAAACATTTATAAATTTCCTCCATATATTCTATACAAAAATAAAACCATTGCAGTAAAATTTGCAGTTCTATAATTCAAAGTGAACTGGTTAGTTTACTACTTTCAATGCATTTTTTTAAAGCTTCACAAGTTTTTTTAATATTCTCTTCATTACAATTGTAACCCATCAAGCCGATGCGCCATACTTTTCCAGCAGTAGTTCCTAAGCCACCAGCTATACAAATTCCATACCTGCGTTTAGAAAGAAAAAAAAATCATGTGGAAGCAAAGCTACGTTATAATAAAACAGGATATTTACTACTTTCATTTGAAATAGATTGTAAAATAGATATACAAACATTTTAAATGATATGATACGATATTTTTTGTCATTACCATCACAGAGTCAGATACAGATTCCATCTCAATAAAATGCCAGAGAGTGCTAATGTATTTTTTTCAAGAATGGGATTTAACTTTTAACTGATATCTACCACTTCTTAAAATGAAAACAATAAAAAAGATATTTAAATTGACATGATTTTGAAAATGAATGTCTCAGTTGCAGTTAAATATTGTAAATATAATTAAAATGCTAAAATAAAAATATTTTCTATATATGCCATTATCTTCAACCTTTATCAATTCATTGCTATAGAGACACTAAACTTCTAAAACATTTTTATAAGCTGCTTTAACCTATATATAAGATGTTATGCAAAGATCATCTTTTAACATATGTTTTTAGAATCTGAATACTCGATATACAGAATCAAGTTGAGAAATAAAAATTGGAAAGCACAATTTTTTTAATGAAATTTCCATCTTCAAAAAATAATGAATCAGAAGATTTCTACTACTCCACTAAGAAGACTTGATAAACATACAGACATTATCTATTAAAACTACAAACAATAGCCTTTTACATAAAACAACTTATTTGCAAATAAGTTTTTCTTATTATTTGCAATCATTTTTGTTTAATTCAATAATGACCAAAAATTTAAAATTATCTTTACTTTTAGACTAATTTTAAATGAAAAAATTAAAAATTTTAACGGAATTAGTAATATAGTTCTTGAGAAATTAAAACCTAAAAATAACCTATGAGTTTTTAAAAGGTTTTACTAACCATAATCTATAAAACCAATTTTGTTTCAGACCAAGTTTGGTTTCAGTCATTTATAATGAGATAGATTATATTAAATTTGTACTTCAATTCAAACTATCTAGTTTGAAGAACAAAATTCTTAGTTTCCTAAAGCCCTGGATACAAGGATTAAATAGCGACACGCCACCATCTTAGTGACTACAACTCTGTTGTAACCGCAACTCTCAATGTAGAAATACGGAGTTTCTATTCTTAAACGCCACTTTTTAGTGATAGATGATTCGGTGTAAACAAACAAAATAATGAGCAATTTAAAATATAACGAAACAATTATTATTTTAGTATTTTCTTAATATAAAATTTTATCATACTTAGTATTGTTTGGAGTCCATTTATCTGTCAATTCTATGCAGCCATACTTTCCGGCAATCTGTATTGCGATCTTCAATGGGTAAGGGATATGATTTAAAGCCTAATTTTGACTTAGATCATCCAAATGCACAACAACCAATCATTATTAATTTAGAAGTATGAAACAAAGTAAAAAGAAAAGCAATAATGATACTTCACTCTTCAAACTAGCCAACTAAATGGTGACAGTTTACCCATGTGATCAGCGACAACTAATTGAAAGTGGCACAAAGGTCGCAAGGAAAAGAGTGATGCTACTTAATTAAACAATCTAGGGCTTTACAGTTCCCAAGAAATGAAAATTTTAAAATGCTACTTTTTTAAAGTTCTGTTCTAAATTTATTTGACTGATTCTGTTCAAATTTAGTTATTTAAAATAGCATTGCTTAAAACAAAGTAAAAATTAGAAAACTTAAGGTTAAGTTTTTTTTTTCCTATCATCATAAACCTAAATAAAAAACCTATTTCAACACAATAATTATTATTATTAAACTATGAATTAATATTTTTAAGCCATAAATTATCCTTTTATGTTTATTATTCTTTACATACCAATAGTTTTTTTTTTATTGGATCAAAGTTTTGATTAAATAACCTCTTCTTCAGCCATTCAAATTTAATCAAACAAATTTAACTACTGCAGTTCTAAGATTTAGAAAACTTGTATTTTAATAGTCCTTCATCTTCAAATTGACAAAATTCAACTATATTGCATTTGATGATCATATATTATTTTTATGAACTTGATTATATAAAATAGCACATTAATAGAATATATTTACGAAGCCTTGTCTTTATATTAAGTTTCATTTGTTAGTGCTAGAAACTGTTAGTCTATTACGCTTGAATGTAAATTTAAATATGAATTTTTTTAATAATACATTATTAAATTTTTAAAAAAAGACATTTTAAGAAATTTAATAAATAGATTCTCATTAGATCATTAGGGGAGAGTCGGGTAGCCCCGCTCACTTAAGGATAATTGCTTATATTTCTGTATAATACTGAGTAATAATCAACATTTTTGTATGTTTCTATTGTTTTATCATCTAATTAAATAATGCAAAAAGAATAAACCAAAAAAAGAATAGTTAAACTTGAAAAAATAGAAATTTAAAAAAGCATGTTTTTCAGCTCTTTTCAAAATGTGTCGGGTAGCCCCGCCCAGTTACAAAAATTGTGTTTTTTGGCAATTTTTTCAGGTGTAAATGAGAATGACCAATGTATTGACAATAGATAAACCTCATTTATCATTTTTATCACAAAATTATTTTATTTATTACATATTTATATACTTTTAGTGAATTCTATCATTCAATAAAAACAAATGTCATACTTTTTATCATTATTAATGTATATTAATATATTATAATATTAATATATATTTATATTAAATATTTAACGAAAATAATTTAATTTAAGTAACAATAATTAATAACAATAGTTGTTTTTCAATATAAACTTATTTGGTTGATCTCTTCTTATAAACTTAATATAAA